CTGCAGGTCGCCGAAGAAGTCGAGGAACTCTTGCCTGGCGGCGCAGGGGCGTTGTCTTGCACCCCTCCTCCTCCTCCTCCTCCTCCTCCTCCTCCTCCTCCTCCTCCTCCTCCTCCCTCCCTCCCTCCCTCCCTCCCTCCCTCCCTCCCTCCCTCCTCCCCCGCGCTGTTCCTCCTCTAGGCTCGGGAGGGCAGGGAGGAGGGAGGAAAAGGATGACGGCCAGGAGGAAGGGATGAGGGCGGGAGGCAGGGTGAGAGGAGAAACGGGGGAGGGAAGGGGATGAGGAAGGGAACACAATGATACCGAGAGGGAGGGCGAGGGAGGAGGGAGAGGGGAGGAGGCAACGAAGCCAACTACCTGGACTATACGAATGCATGGCGGGCGCCTCGCACGGCAATCATGGAATGGAAGAGCTGGATGCTGGATCGTGAGACTGCGTTTCCGCGTTCCGAGATATCTGTCATAGCACGCCAGGCCGTTGTTTTGGCTATCCAGCCTCCAGGATTTCACGTCGACGGGGTCGCATCGGCAGCGCGCGAGAGACTGCTGGTGAAGGACGAGGGCGACGCGGCGAAGGACGGCCAAGGGTACCGTGGTTGCCCGCGTCGTTAGAACTGCCCCCATGGGGACGCCCCGCCGCGCAGCCGAGGGACGGCGCCCGCCCCAACGGTACCCTGAGAGGCTGGCCGATGGACGCTGCAAAGGACGGGCCGCAGAGGCAGAGACAAGGCAGGACCCAAAGGTACCTTAGAAAAGCCGCGCGTCCTCATCAGAGGTGTAGACTGTACTACAATACCGTAGTACATTCACTACATGCAATCATATAATGCTACTCTTACGTAGATTGAACTTGGGTGCCGCGTCGACATGCCAATACTACAATAATACAGAACTGGTCCACAAGAGTAGAGCACTAGTTCTACAGCACTAGAAGCACTACAATTCGAGGGTACCACTACTGTACCCGAGTACAACAGTAGTGGACTACGTATACCGCAATACTACAGCACGGCTACGAAAGCAAGTCGTAGAACATGATATGTGCTGCAAGACCTGACTATTACGATTACACTTGCAGGACCTCTACAGTACTGCTACTTCATTAATGCAATACTACTACGGCGGTTCCTTAATGCTGCAGTAGTATATCACTACGAGCATTCCACTACTACAGTGCAGCTACGACGACAGATCAAGACTAAAACACTGTTTCTACACTACGACAGTATTGCTATCACATACTACTGCACCGCTGTAAGAACATGGCTGTAGCAATAGAGAGCTACTACTTTAGTGCACTTCTGCTTCTCGGGGCCATAGGAGGGGAGCAGGAGGAGGACGGATGCAGGCCGTCCCTTCTCAGTCCTGGGTCTTGGGTTCTTCATGACAGGCAATGCAGACGCAACGCAATGGCAATGCCAAGGCAGTGCGATGCGATTGCGTTGCTGGGGGAGGGGGTAGGGGGTGGACAGGGCCCTCGCCCTCCCCCTCTGTGCTGATGCTGTTTTTTTTGGGGGGGGCGGCGCAACAAAAAGGGGAGAATACAGACAGATGGTTTCCTTACGTGTTTGCCTCCCCCCAGGCAGCACCAGTAGTAAAACGGGGGGAGGGTGCGACCCTTCTGTTGATCACGAACCAGACTCAACGTTGTCCGCACAATCGGAAGTGTGACCCACGGCAGGGCGACGAACCTCTCTCGACGCTGCACGCCGAAGCGACGGGCCCACCCCTGGCCATACCCAGCAAAGCACGAGAAGACGGAGACGATTCGGACCAGAGGTAGAGCCCCTCTCTGTAAAAGAAAGGAAAAGCAACAAATCAATCACGTAAAAAGCAACGAGGCGATTCGACCGTGGGACCCCTTCCTTCTCCCCCTCTCGATAATCCTCCTCCTCCCCCCCGTCCTTTTCCTCCCTCCTCCTCCTCCCCGAGGCCGCCAGCCACCCAAGGGGGGGCCTCGTGTAGTAGATCCCGTCCATCGCGCGCCTGTGCTCGATCGGGGGCGTGTTGTCCCACACCTGAGGTCCGTCGTCGATAGAAGCGTCGTCGTCGGATGCAAGATCAAACAACCTCGAGCCAAGGATTCAAATCGAATCGGAATGTGTGCGTCGGATCAGGATGCATGGGCACGGAATCGAAATCGGACCGACCCGGCCACACCGAGATGCACACCAACGCCCCGCAACATCAAGCTGCACCAGATCGTCGGACCACCAGAATCCGATGGGTTTGGGCCGGCCGTCACGATATCTCGAGTCGGATCGAAACGGGCCCTGATTAGAAGACGCGACCGTCGCTGCGACGGAGCGGAATGCACGCCGCGCACCTCCTCCTCCTCCTCCTCCTCCTCCTCCTCCTCCTCCTCCTCCTCCTCCCTCCTCCTCCTCCTCCTCCTCCTCCCCCTCCCCTCCCCCTCCTCCTCCTCCTCTTCCTCCTCCTCCTCCTCCTCCTCTCCTCCTCCTCCTCCTCCTCCTCCTCCCTCCTCCTCCTCCTCCTACTCCTCCTCCTGCTCCTCCTCCTCCTCCTCCTCCCCTCCCCCTCCTCCTCCTCCTCCTCCTCCTCCTCCTCCTCCTCCCTCCTCCTCCTCCTCCCCCTCCTCCCCCTCCTCCTCCTCCTCCTCCTCCTCCTCCTCCTCCTCCTCCTCCTCCTCCTGCTCCTGCTCCTAGCTCTGTTTCTGAGCCGTCAGGAAGCGTGTCTTTCCCATCGCATGTTCTCAGGCAAGTGCATGCGCGTCTGGCGGCTGCCAGGACACGACCTCGCTCTCCCTCCCCTCCCCCGTGGATGGTGCGTGCCAGGGTCTCAGGCCCTGAGCCGCTTGCCAGGTCTGTTCGTTTCGCCCCGCCTCACTCGGACTTCCTCCAGCAGGCCGTTCGTGACTTCGAGGCGGGGCCGCTTGCTGCTGCCGCTGCCGCCTCTCCCCCTCTGCCTTGTATAGCTTTGAGGCCGCTTGGGAGGGAGCCACCGATCAAATATAGGCGTCTAGGGGAAACGGGTGGAGGCCCCGCCGGCAACCCTGACGCTCGTGATGCTCGTCCCCTGCCCATCTCGGGAGACATCCCCCCTGAAGCGGCAAGGGGGCATGAGCGGTTTGTGGCCCCTGGGACGGTGGTCAGTTGTATGACGCGCGGTGGGATTTCAACAGGCAGAGCGTCCTCCTTGGTCTCTCAGTCCCCCCCGTGCTCTAATCGTGCTGCCTCTCATAGGTTGCGATTCAGCTCCAATCGGCATCCAGCTGACTATAAGCGGCACGAATCCATTTCGGGTCAGAGGCGTCTCAGAGTCGATGATCCTGAGGACCACTGGTTGAACCTCTCTTACCTCGTTTGTCGGGTTTTCCATTGAGCTCGCCATCTAGTTCATGCGTGCGCTCGTTGTGTCTGCTGCTCTCCCCGCCGAGATCCTGCGGGTGGGCGCCTGGGGTGAGCTCCTCGCAAACACTGGGACGTGCCCTCGGTCGTCCCCCGTCTATAGTGGCCGTTGGCGAGCTGCACGACGGATTCCCCTTCAGGCTGCGTACTCCTCCTCCTCCTTCTCCTCCTCCTCCTCCACCTCCTCCTCCCACTCCTCCTCCTGCCCAGCCTCCTCCTCCCTCCTCCTCCTCCTCCTCCTCCTCCTCCTCCTCCTCCTCCTCCTCCTCCCCTCCCGCCTCCGCCTCTTCCTCCTCCTCCTCCTCCTCCTCCTCCTCCTCCTCCTCCTCCTCCTCCTCCTTCCTCCTCCTCCTCTCCTCCTCCCCCTCCTCCTCCTCCTCCTCCTCCTCCTCCTCCTCCTCCTCCTCCTCCTTCCTCCTCCTCCTTCCCCCCTCCTCCTCCTTCCCCCCCCTCCTCCCCTCCTCCTCCTCCTCCTCCTCCTTCCTCCTCCTCCTCCTCCTCCTCCCTCCTCCTCCTCCTCCTCCTCCTCCTCCCCCTCCCCCTCCCCCCCCCTCCCCCTCCTCCTCCTCCTCCTCCTCCTCCTCCTCCTCCTCCTCCTCCTCCTCCTCCTCTCCTCCTCCTCCTCCTCCTCCTCCTCCTCCCTCTCCTCCCTCTCCTCCCCCTCCTCCCCCCCCTCCTCCGCCTCCGCCTCCTCCTCCTCCTCCTCCTCCTCCTCCTCACCTCCTCCTCCTCCTCCTCCTCCTCCTCCTCCTCCTCCTCCTCCTCCTCCTACTCTTCCTCCTCCTCCTCCTCCTCCTCCTCCTCCTCCTCCTCCTCCTCCCAATCCTCTCCCATTTCATTGTGAAGGGGCAGCGCCCGCGCCTGGGCCTGCCGTCACTGGCTCGGAGGCCTCGGACTCTTCGACCCCGCGGCGGGCACCGCTCCCGCTGCGCGTCTGTGAAAGGGGTTGCGGGCGTGGAATTGGTGATCTAGCTCGAAGAAAGCGTCCTCAAGCCATCTCCCTGTCCCCCCCATCCCCTTCCGTTCCTTCTCCGCGTGCTCCTCGAAGTGTAGGCTGTAGCCTTGACAGGACTTCCTGCTTAAGGATCAGCGGCTGCTCTTCAGCACAATGCCAAGTGCATCGAAACCCTTGAGGGTAATGGCTCCATGCGTCCACGTTCTGGGTTCCCTCCCTTTCTTCAGCGCCAATTCGCCCCGTCCGCCGTCCGTCCCGATAGGTCAGACTCGCTCGACACGAACAGTTGGATACGCCTTGGAAGCTGTTGGCAAGGGAATGCCGCCGCAGCCTGACGCCATCGCAAAGCAAAAGCTCACAACTCAGCTGCCATGTTGAGCTTGAAGCTTCATTGCACGATCCTCATCACTTTACTATGGCTTGCGTGTGCAAATCCTACCAGTGTCCAAATGTCTACGAGCTGGTTTGCCTGTGTGCACCCCTGTGCGTACTAATTTGTTTGGAGGCCCAGGTGAGCTCATTCTCGCTCTGTCAACTCCTATTGATTTGGAAGCAAGCCTGGAGTGTTTGCGGTGAACCGCGGCGCAACATAATGTAGATGAGTCAGTTTGGGGTACTCGATGCTTGTTGTATCGAGCACAACACAACCTTATCGTAAGAGGAATGGGTGAAAATTGTGCAGGCGGGGGTTCCATCGTCCCGTGCCCTCGTCCTCTTTGCATCCTCCTCCCCATGGTCCTTACCCTTCAACGGCAAGCGCTTGTTCCTCCTCCTCCTCCTCCTCCTCACTCTCCTCCTCCTCCAAACCCATCCCCGCTCCTCCTCCTCCTCCTCCTCCATCCCATTTTTTTTTTTTTTTTTTTTTTTTTTTTTTTTTTTTTTTTTTTTTTTTTTTTTTTTTTTTTTTTTTTTTTTTTTAAAAAAAAAAAAAAAAAAAAAAAAAAACTCCCTGTCGCACCCCGAGACGTGCCAGCAGGGCCAGGCGTTTCGCCTGGGACTTCGCCCACCGATGATCATCTTGCGAGAATTTGCAAGAGCTTCACGGATGGAGGGCGGCTCCTTTTCAACATGTGGCTCTCGCCTACGCGCCGCGCGGTTTCACTGGAGGGCGGATCGTTTTTTTTTTTTTTTGTTTTTTTTTTTGTTATGGGGCTCTCGCCGGCGCGCCGCGCACAGTCGTCTTGAAAGTTTGCATGGGTTTCACGGATGGAGGGCAATTTCGTTTCAACATGTGGCTCTCGCCTTTGAACCGCGCGTCCTCGTTTTACACATGTACAGCAAGCTCAAAGAGTCTTATGGTTGACGTCCCCAAAAACGATTCATATTATGGTACCATTTGGAATTGTCAGGGCGCTCGAGTCACGTTGATTCGCGGTGTTGACGTCCCAGGGATGGTGATTTTGCGCAGTTCAGGAACGTCTGGAGGCAACAATAATGTTGAATCGCGACGTTGAAGTCCCAGGAACTGTGTCTTGGCACGACTGGGGGTTCTCAAACGGTTGTCTTCCAACACGATACTTCCCACAGAGTTGTTCTTGCAGGGGCCCATGAAGAGGAAGCTTGGAGGGAGTTTGCATGGCAACATCGTTGATGCGTCTGGGGTTTGCACAAGCTTTTCTCCTCCTCCACCTCCTCCTCCTCCTCCATATCCTCATCCTCCCCGCCCATTCCCACTTCTCATCCTTCTCCTCCTCCTCCCCGCTCCAGGCTCTGAAGAGGCTCCTCTTCGTCGAGGAGGGGGACTTGCTTTGTCTCTTCGATGCTGCTTGCGGCACTGGGTAAAGCCACCCCAGGCTGCGCTCAGAGGCTGTCCTACGGGTCGCGGCGCTGGTAGACGACAGTCTGGAAGTCACGCGCCCCCCGCTCTGGGGCATCGTGCCAATCGCAATTTCACTCGTACCTACTGGCCGTGTCGGGCCGCATGACCACAACCTCGCTTGTTTTGTTAATCCAGCGGATGTGCCGAAGCACGCCGCGGGCCTCCTGAATTCGCCTCGGTCGGGCCTGCACGTTTTGCCCTCCAACTTCGGGGCCCTGTTCCACCCAACGATATCTTCATAAGCGACTCCTGTCACGAAGCCCTTTCTCGTCCTCGTGATGGAATTTGTTGAGGTTGCAAGCGTTCGCATCTTTTTTTCACACGAGCAGGTAGCTTGTCTGGTCTGAGAAGGTCGTGCCCAACTTGTCATCGTTGAACTCTTTTTTGTCCGCCTCCCTGGACTTACCTCCAACTCATCGACCATGGCCTAATCCTCATCATCGAGGGCGGTCGCAAACTCTGGCAAATTGTCCTGCGGCCATCTCCGTTCACGGCCTGCTGCTCGGTGCGGCGCGCCTGGAAGATCTCGCCCACATCGTCCTTCTCCATGAAGGACAAGGCAACCGAGTGTGCGCGATTCCACGGCTCATGCTGCTTTGTCCACGCAAAGATCCAGCACTGAATGATCAGTCTTCTCCCAGTTGTCCTTCTCGGCGCACGCCGCATAGATGAACTCCCTGTGTCGCTGTACATCATACGCGAGCTTTCCGCCGATCCTCATGACACAAATGCTCGTTCGATTGTTGGTCCAACTTTGGATGGCGATCCGGTCTCGGTGGTAGAAGATCGTAACTGCTGATGGGCTCGCTACAATCGCCTCCTCGTCCTAAGTTTTCTGTGAACGCTTCATTGATCTCCTCTGCCTGCGGCTGGGCAGTCCTGGAGGAGGGGGAGTGGGCAGAGGAGGAGGCAGGCAAGCAGAGAAGGAAAAGGCGGATATCATGGGGCATCGGAAATTGCCTGGCCTGACGCCGAAAGGGGCAGGGCCACACGAGGAGGGGAGGGAGAAAAGCAGGAGCAGGGGGAGGTGAGGCAGGAAAAGGCAGGACGAGCGGAAGGGCCATAACCCCCTCTGCAATCGCCTCGAGGCTCCCGAAATACTCCAAGAACTCCCTCTTCGTGTAGAGGATGCCGTCGGGCCCGAGCCGGCGCTCCTGGGCGGCTTCCCGCGAATAGCCCCGGGCCACTACAGCTCGGTTATCCGTCTCCTCATCACTCCTCCTCCCTCCTCGTTCCGCTCTTCGCTCTTCGTCCTGGTGCTCCTTCCTCATCTCCCTCCCTCCTACCTCCTTCTCCGACCTTCGCCTGTGCTCATCCTTCGCCCTCCCTTCCTCTCCTCCTCCTCCTCCTCCTCAATCCTCCTACCACCTCCGCTCTCCGACTCGAACTCCATACGCGCGCCCCTAAAAGGTACTAGAACATTGCAAATTACCTTGGCCATGTCATTCAAATCTACTCCCACCCTCCTGCATTACTCTCCTCCTCCTGATCCTCCTCCCCCTCCGTCCTCCTTCCCCTGAGCCCATTGAAGACCATAGCCTCATTCAAACATAGTCTACTGTAGTTCTCCGCGTAAGAACATGAAAGGCTTCGTAGGATCAATCGCTGTCATATTAGCCATATTAACAAAAGGTCCATGGGAGGGGAGGGCGACGACGGTGATGGTGATGATAATGACGATGATGATAATAGAGAGCAGAAAATCCACCCCCATAAGAAGCACCCCGACAAGCGAAGCCGTTTAGTAAACGCGCCCATGGAAGGAATCGAACAGGGCAGGGCTGTTTAGTAAACGCCCAGGGCTGTTTAATAAACGCGAATTGTCGGGGTCGGGGTGGTTTTTCCGTCCCTGAGATAATGACGGTGATGAAGATGAAGATGAAGATGATGATGATGATGATGATGATGATGATGATGATGATGATGATGATGATGATGATGATGATGGTGATGATGATGATGATGATGATGATGATGATGATGGTGATGGTGATGGTGATGATGATGATTATGATGATGATGATGATGATGGTGATGGTGGTGGTGATTGTGATGCTGATGATGACGGTGGTGATGATGATGAAGGTGGTGGCGATGGTGATGGTGATGAGAATGACGGAGGTACTGACGATGATGGCGACGATGGCAGCGATGTAGACGATCATAATTATGATGCTGATGATGCTGCTGATGATGATGATGATGATTATGATGGTCGTTATGATGATGATGGCAATGGTGACGGTGATGGGGTGATGTTGATGAATGACGGTGGTTGTGCCGATGATGTTTACATGTATTATGTTGGTTATGGTGATGTTACTGATGGTGATGGTGATGCTGTCGTTGGGTATGAAAATGGTGGTGGTGGTTGTGATGACTGTGGCGGTATCGGAATGACATGCTATTTACACAATTTCGTGCCCTTCCCACCCCTCCAACGAAGCCCCGCCAGAGCGAGACGGGCATCGGGATACCATACTAATCACACGGTTTCGTGCCACTCCCATTCTGGGGGGGCCCGCCAGAACGAGGAAAAGATCGGGCTACCATGCTATTTAATCAGTTCCGTGCACTTTCCCACCCCTGCAGGGAGACCCCGCCAGAGCAAGGAGGGCATCGGGATGTCATATTTATACCGTTGTGTACCCCTCCCACCCTTCAGGGATGCCCCGCCAGAGCGAGGAGAGTATTTGGATACCGTACTATTTTCACGGTGTCGTGCCCTTCCCACCCCTCCAGGGAGGCCCCACCAGAGCGAGGGCACCGGGATGCCACACTATTTACACAATTTCGTGCCCTTCCCACCCCTTCAACGAAGACCCGCCAGAGAGAGGAGGGCATCGGGCCGCCATGTCACGCGCGATCCTCGGATGGAGTCCTTGAGATGAATGTGCTCAGATCGTGCAGCTTTCCGTTCCCGACGCACGCGCGTAAAAAAAACAGCGCTACGTACCGCTTACATCATCGCAGTCGCCTGCCATACCATCATCATCATCATCATCATCATCATCATCATCATCATCATCATCATCACCACCACCACCACCACCATCATCATCATCATCATGATCAGCATCATCATCTTCATCATTATCAACATCCATATCATCAGGAAGCCCTCCAAAGCTTTGAACGCCGTTCCCGAACACCTCTTCCAAATGTTCCTTCCTCCTCCTGCCGCTCCTCTTCATCCCACCCGTCCTTTTCGCGCATAAGCTACTCGACTGGAACCGAGAATGCGCGCAGTTCCCCCCGCCCGTGGTTTCTACTCGTCGCCGTCGTCGTCGTCTCCATCGCAGCCGCTTCGACCGCCGGAGCCGCCGCGGCCGCCGCCGCCGCCACCACCACAACCATCATCACTACCACCACCATCATGTTCATCATGTCCATAATCAACGACAACATCATCATTACCATCAACAACATCACCATCATCACCATCATCATCCATAAACATCATCGACGCAACGACCATCATTCATCAACATCGCCAACACCCCCATGACCATTACCATTGCCATCATCATCATGACCACCATCATCATCACCATCACCATCATCATCATCATCATCATCATCATCATCATCATCATCATCACTATCATCATCTACATCACCACCATCATAATCACAATCATCGCCAACACCTCCGTCATCACCATCAACATTACCATCATAATCGCCACCATCATCGCCATCATCACCACCATCATCATCATCATCATCCTCCTCTTCCTCGTTGTCGTCGGCATCAGCATCGTCATCATCGTCGTCGGAGTCGGCGTCGACGTGGTCGTGGTCGTCGTCGGCGGCGGTGTCGGCGTCGGCTTGGTCGTGGTCGGGGTCGTGGTCGTGGTTGCGGTCGGTCGTCTTCGTCCGTCGTCCTTTTGTTGGGACCGGTCCCCCGCACGTGAGGGATAGGCCAAGGATCTGAAATCTGAAATCTCCTCCTTCCACGGCCGCAACACCGACGGCCGTGCCCTCCTGTGCGATAAAGAGCCCAGCAGACATGGGACAACATCCGACGGCTCTTCAGAGAAGAAGGGAAGGCGGCATCTCATAACCGTAGACGCTCAACATTCGGCAGGCATGTCCTGGGTCGGCGCTGGACCGCGTGGGCGGCGCCTCCAGCGCCGCCCCCTGCGCGCGGAGCGCGCCAGGGACCTCCGCGCGGACCTCCGAAGGCGTATGCGCTTGGCTGTGTCTTTGGCCCTCCGGTACTCGCCCGCCCGCCCTCCTCGCACGAGCTTCCGTGCCGCAGCAGCGAGAGCTCTCACCGCGCCCGAGGGCAGGCGTGGGATGCGGCGCGTGGCCCAACCGGGTACAGCGGGCGGCGGAAGGAGCACGAGCGCGCGGAACAAGGGGGGGGGAGGATGCTTGGAACCTCCTCCTCCTCCTCCTCCTCCTCCTCCTCCTCCTCCTCCTCCCACCCCTTCCCTCCTCCTCCCCGTCCTCCTTGTACGTGTGACGAAGCCCTGCACGCACACCGGCCCTCAGAAGAGCAGACCCTCGGCAATACACGCAAGGGAGGCCCTGCGCGGCTCTGCTGGGGGGCCGCGGGGGGGCCCAGACACAAGCGCGCAAAACACTACTGCCGCATCGCGTTCGGCGATCGGGGGACCCCTATGGGCCCGCACCACGAGTCACTCTGGCGAAGGGTCGCTCTTACGTGTACAATCAACCCGTATCAGAAGGATGCGCGGTGAGGATGCGAGGGCTTCGGAGGGCCACTATGACGTCGTTTCGAACAAGGCTGGCCAGCGAAAGTCGCTAAGGATGGACCGAGGAGGCAAGGATGCAAGGGTACCCTTGGGAAGGTTGCCCGTCCTATCATGCGGGCTGACTGTAGTCGAGGACCCCCCGTCCCCGCAGCGCCCTCATCCTGGGCGGTGTGCGCCCTCCCCGCGAGGCGCGGGGTCCTCCTCCGGGAGCACGTACTCCACGGGGCCGGCCGCCTCCACCTTCGGGGGAAGGCGCCGCGGCAGGGTGTGGGGGTGGAGCGGGGGCGAGGAAGGGGAGCGAGTGGAGGGAGGGAGCAGGGGGGGGATAGAGGGGAAGGGGGGAGGAAGGGGGCGGAAGAGAGAGAGAGAGAGAGAGAGAGAGAAAAAAAAAAAAAAGAGAGTGGGGGAGGGAGCGAGGAGGCGCAAGGGCGGGGCACAGAGGGGGGAAGAGAGACGGGGAGGGATAAATGGAAGGGAAAACGCCAGCAGAAGATGAGTCCAGGTCGCCCAAACCCACACTGCATCGAGACAAAATTTGAGGGGCCCTCCCTGAGCGAAGAACAGCCAGGACCCAGGACCCTCAGCCGTCATCTAGGCGGTCCCCCACGCCACAAACGCCTGAGGCCGATGAAAAAGGGGGCGGAAAAACATGCAAGATGAGCGGGAAGAGGACGACAGAGTTCGAGGGGGTTGACTTGAACCATGAAGAAAGGCCTTCTCGAAGAAGGAGCTAAGCTAAGTTGTGCAGGATGGACCTCGAGATCAAGGAGCTTCCAAGATGGTCCAAGGGGGCCCCAAGAAGCCCCAGGAGGCCCCCGCCATGCCAAAAAGAGGCCCCTAAGAGGCCCCCGAGAGGCTTCGGGCAGCCCAGAACTGCCTCCAAGAGGCTTCCGAAAGGCCCCCCAAAAAATCGCAACGAGCATCCCAAATATCGCTGACCATCCCGGGCACAGTGGCGAGATGGGTCGCAAGCCACTATATCCGCCGCCCACGGTGGTCTTGCCACAGGGGTGCTCGGCGTGCTGATCCCTATGCTCGGCTTAGTGCTGGTTCTTTTTTCCCAGAAAACTCTTCCCTGGGGCTGCGACCCGTCCCGCGGGCCACGCAGAAGAGATGGGTGCAACAAAAGCAATCAGCCGTTTGGCTCGAGACATCCTCGCGACAAATCGCGATCTTGGGGATCCCAGTTCAATATACCTCATGATAAACAGAAGCGCTTCGTAGGAGACACTCTCGAACAATGAGGGTGTTGAACTCGGTGGCCTCATCTTCGGATATTCCAAGGTGATAATTGCTCTGCAGACATCCTCAACAAAAAGCTTTTTCAAACAATGAATCGAAGCTCATGTCGGAGCGCTCTCGGATTACCTCCAAGATGGCCCAAGAAGCGAACATATTGAAAACCCTCGGGTGTGTTTAGCACTGTTGCTCGACCGTGTGCGTGTCGCTCGAGACATCCCCCCAAACTTGCCGTCGGGAGCGCTCTCGGATGACCCTCAAGATGGCCCATTCCTCCTCCCCATCCTCCTGCTCCGCCCCCTCCTCCTCCCTCCAGATGGCTTCCAGATGGCCCAAGATGATCTCCAGAGGGCCCAGGAGGGCCCAAGGCGGCCTCACGAGCGCCCAAGACCGCCCCAAGAGCGGTCCAAGAGGCAGTTGTTCGGGACCCGACGGGGAAACCCTGTCAGGACCCCCCCCCCCTTCTTTGATCGGTTGCCTCCAAGATGGCTGCAGGACGGCCTGCAAGTGGGCCCCAGGAGAGCCCCAAGAGCGCCCTAAGAGGGCCTCAAGGGAGCCCCAGGGCCATGAGGCCTTCAAGATGGCCCCAAGAGGGCCACATGATGGCCCCAAGAGGCCTCCAAGACGCTTCCAGAGCGACAGATCGCGAAGTTCTGGACATTGATTCCTGTCGTCGTCGTCGTCGTCGTCGTCGTAGTCTTCGTCGTCGTCGTCGTCGTCGTGGTCGTAATCGTCGTCGATGGCGTCGTAGTCGTCGTAGGTCTACACGCGCTCATAATAATGCACGCACGGCGAGCAACGACAGCCAACCACCTCACCAAGGCGGCACCAGGGAAGCACGACTTCTTACAGGTAACACAGGCGACGATAAACAACCACTCAAAGAAGACAACCACGAGTAGCCGCGAAACGTAGGCAACGGCGCGGACGCCACTCATCAAACGCGCAGGGATATGTGGCAGGTTTGGTTGAGTGGTTGTTGCCTGTCGTCGCTCCCTGAATGGATCCCCCACGCGTAAAGGAACATCGGCATCCGCCGCCGTGCCTGCGGCATGATGAGGCGTGGAAGAATGCGAAAAGCTGCCTGGCAGTGTCTCTGCAGTCTTCTAAGGGCCGCAACTCCCCAGGTCACTTCCCGGACTGCAACGCCCCCCGTTGCCGGGTGTCCCTGGGCGGCCCTGGCGCCTCCGTCGGGCTCTCCAAAGCTCCCGTGGACTGCCCAGGGGGCCCCCAAGACAGTTCAAGATGTCCCGAACGATCGCCCGAAGCCGCCCGAGAGGGCCTCCAGATGGCCTAAGAGGCCTCCGAGACGTCCAGGCCTCCAAGATGCCTCCCAAGAGGGCTCCAAGAGGCAAAACCATTGATTTCCCTCAGTTGTTTGTGACAGATGTTGGAGTTGTTTGTGAAAGGTTTTGGCGTTTTCGCTGTTTCTGTTACGCTTCAACACGGCCCAAGAGGCCCACAAGATAACCCCAAAACTGCACAAGAGGCTTCCAAGAGGGCCCCAGGGCGGCCAAAGTGGGCCCAAAGACGGCCCCAACAAAGGGCCCAAGAGAAGGAGCACGAACCCAAACTCCGAGCCTTCCGCCCTAAGAGGCTCCCACGAGGCGCCAAGAGCAAGCACGGCGGTGGGGCTTGCCGTAGGCACCTGGATAAACATAAACTGTCGACGCTTCGCGTGGATTTCTTGGATCGGCGCTGGACCCCTCCCTGGCGTGCGGGGCGCGCCAGGGGTGGCGCCACAGGCGCCGCCAGCGGGCTCCAGCGCCGATCCGAGAAATCTTCGTAGACCTCCGAGTCATTGTTTGTTTCCCGATAATCGTTATCAATTCGCCGTAGTCGTAAAAGTAGCCCTGGTCGTCAACATCGTCCTCGTCTTCGGAGGGGAACACGGGGGGCAACTGGTCCGGGGGAACTCCTTCGCATTCTTCCGCCTGCTCCTCCACCCTACGCACTAAGCCGTCTCGGGTGGGCAGCGAATCACGGCCGACGTGGTCTTCTCGTTTCTTGATCTCTTCGTCGGGGAGGCATCGGGCATCGTCTTTGAACCGTCTTCCATCTTCGGTCCTCATCATCCTTCGAGATATCTGCCAAGACGGACGCGATTCACTGCTGGGCCGCATGGCAATTCGCCTGGTGTTTGTTTTTGGATGGGCTAGTGGTGATATTTTTGGTCGCGGCCGCGAGCGAAGAGCGCAGGCGGCGAACAGGGTGTCCGGGCCGACGGGCAAGCCAAATTAGCTACAAGACGCGCCGCTAGCCGGCCGGCCCACTCACAAAGCAGCCGCGGGGCTGTGCGGGAAGCTGACGGCAGGAGACATCCTGGGAAGCTCGGGCACGTGCAGTCTGACAAAATGTCGAGGAATTCGCTGCCTCACGTGAGGCATAACCCACACAGCGACATGACGTGCACTGGGGCTGACGTGCCCGTCATACTGGGTGGGGGCAGGCGCCAAGCCCGATGAGCGAGTCGCCAGTGGGGCGCCAGGCCCAATCCGTCCCAACGACGTGTGCTGGCTAGGGGAGCTGAACTGCCGAGGAACGTGGAACGTCGCAAACCTGCCGGAAGAGGGGGGATGAGCCCGGGGTGCTGTTGCGGCTCCGAAGGGCTAAACCACTCCGGCGCGGTCACAGCACCCGAAAGTCCACCAAACAGTGTACGTGGTAGGCCTGGACGACCGCGAGCCGGCCCCGTCGACAACGGCACAGCGCCAGGCCAGATGGACTGGAGGAGAAAGCCAGGCAGGCGTGGTGAGCATCGCCAGCGAGGCAGGGGGATCCAGGGGGATGCTGCACAGGGGGCACGGCAGCTGCCGCCTGAAGTACGCCGAAGGCCACCGAGGGACGGCCTTATCCTCCAAGCTAGTGGTGATACTTTTTCGGTCGCGGCCGCGAGACAACGGTCAGGCGGCAAGAGCAAAGCTAGTGGTGATACGCGGAGCGTCAGGAATGCTCTCGACTTTGCGCGTGGCCTTCACGTCGACCTGCTGATAGTCACGTCTACAGCCCAATCGAAAGTTTTGACTCACACAAGCGTGCACACTATATGCGAGGCGTGGGGAAGCGCGTGCCCTGCAACCTATCATCACATGCGTGTGTATAGGCGAACGCAAGTGGCGTGTCCCTGGCGTTGGGGGTGATGCCCCTGGACGGGACGACGACGAGGAAGAATTCCATCCTTCCTCCTACCCCCAGGTGCCGCCTTGGACGCCTCGGTCTGGTTCACCTACGGCTCTTTTGCGCACCGCCAGCAGGGCGGACGACGACGACGACGACGACGACGACGAGGAGCTCGACGACGTCGCCGACGATTACTGACGTCGACGACGGTAGCGGTGGCGGCAAACACAACGAACGACAGGTGGCAAAACAGACACGTCATCCAACTGATTGGAGTACATATATAGATATACATATATATACATATACATATACATATACATTAACATATACATGTACATATACATGTATATATATATATATGAGAATGAGAGAGCGTGATCCACCGCCGCTTTACTGTGGAAAATTCCCCTCTTCCTCCAGAACCTGGGGGTCCACCCCCCTTCCGAAAATCCCCCTCCCCCCCGCTCGAACCCCTCCTCCCACCCCTCCCTCCCCCCAGCAAAACCCCCCCTTTCCCCCCGCCCTCTGGAAACCGGGGGGGATCACTACCGGTTCGATTCGAACCCCCCCCCTCCCCCCCCCCCTCCAGAAAACCAGGGGGTCACTGACAGTTCGAGCCCCCCCTCCCCTCCCACTTGCCGCCAGCAAACGACTCCTGGCTCCCCACCACAGTCCTCACCACCGCCCTCACCACCGTCCCCACCACTGTCCCACTGTCCCCACTGCTCCCGCCACTTTTCCCACCACTGTCCCCACCACGGTCCCACTCTCCCCACGGTTCCCACCACTGTCCTACTGTCCCCACTACTGTCCCACTGTCCCTACTGTCCCCACCGCTGTCCCACTGAGCTGTCCCACTTTTCCCACCACTGTCCCACTGTCCCCACTGTCCCCACCACTGTCCCCACTTTACCACTGTCTCATTGTCCCACCACCGTCCTCATCACCACCCTCACCACCGTCCCCACCCCCACCGTCCCCGACACTGTCCCACTGTCCCCACTGTCCCCGCCAGTGTCCCACTGTCCCCTCACCACCGTCCCCACCACCACCGTCCCCACAACTGTCCCACTGTCCCCACTTTCCCCGCCACTGTCGCAGAGTCCCCACTGTTCCCATCATTGTCCCCACTGTCTCGCTGTCCCCAGTGTCCCCACCGCTGTCGTACTGTGCTGTCCCACTGTCCCCACTATCCCCGCCACTGTCCCACTTTCCCCACTGTCCCCACCACTCCCCCCACTGTACCACTTTCCCATTGTCCCACCACCGTCCTCAGCACCGCCCTCAACACTGTCCCCACCACTACCGCCCCCCCCACTGTCCCACTGTCACACTGTCACCTCGCCACCGTCCCCACCACCACCACCCCCACCACTGTCGCACTGTCCCACTGTCCCCACCCACCGCTGTCCCACTGTCCCCGCACCACTGTCCCCACCAGTGTCCCACTGTCCCCACACGACTGTCCCAGCGTCCCCACCACTGTCCCACTGTCCCGAGGAGCGGGAATCGTTTGCCGGCGGCAACGGGGGGGAGTGTTCGAACCGGCCGGTAGTGCCCCCCCCCTCGTTTTCATGCTGGACTGGGGGGGGAGGGGGGGTTAGGAACAGATAGCGGACTTGGGGGGAGACGGGTTGGGAACCCCCAGTGACTCAATGACCCCCCCTCGTTTTCCGCCAGCAGCGGTAGAGCGCGCTTTTCATTTGTAATCATATATAAGCACAAACATAACTATAAATTAGAGTCAAACTGTCAAACTGTAGAGTTAGGCCGCATGATAAGGACGCAAGAGCCTTGGAGGGCCACGTCGACACTTTGCGAGCGGGGCGCGGCTAGCGAAAGCGGCCAAGGATGGGCCGAAGGGAAAAGATGCAAAGGCAAACTTAGGAACGCGTTCATCCTTACTATGCGGGTTGCTTGTACCCGTCAGTCGGAAGAGGTGGGTGGAAACATTATGTCTGAATGCGTTGAAAATAGATTGCGCTCCCGCCCGCACCGTGAACAGGACAGAAAAAGGTGAAGCCATTCGATCATTGAAGTAGGAAGCCGCCCCGTGATCAGGTGACAACAAATTCAAATCTGGGAATCCCAGCATATATATATATATATCCAACCACCGGCGTGCACTCTCTTCTTCTTTTTCTGTTTTTTTTTGTTTCTCTCTCTCTCTCTCTACCTCTCTCTCCCTCTCTCTCCACACGCGGATGAGAATCGAGGACCACCGCCTCTGGACTGTCTGATGTTTCTCACTTCTGGTCCTCTGGGATCATCTGGAGACTACGGCGGGATCTAGGACAAAAAACACATCTTCCAAAAATCGGCTACACGCAGGAGTGACCATGGGTAAGAGTGATCGTTGAGGCGCGACTTTTTGGGAGCCGCGGGGAGGCCAACCACAAGCGCGCAAGACGCCACAATCTCATCGCATTCGGCGATCGGGGGACTCCCCGCACCCAAGGTGACTCCAGCGAAGGGTCACTCTTACGTGTAGTCGAAAGAACATAGGACCCTCCGGCCCAACCGAAGAACACAAAAAGGCACACCCTCCCCAGGATGCACGAGGACATGCAAGAAACACGACGCACCGTAAGGTACCGTCTCCGAACCGACCTCGACCTCATACCTCGGTCCGACTGTATCCATTTCCGCTTTCTCACTCTCGCTTCCTCCCTCTCCCTCCCTCATCTCCCTCCTTTTCCCCTCCGTCCCTCATGCCTTTTTCGTATCACTCCTACTTTCTTTGTTCCTGGCCCTCGTCGCCATCTTCCCACTTCCCTGCTTCCACTCCTCCTCCTCCCCTCCTCCTCGTCCCCCTCGTCCTCCTACTCGTCCGCTTCCCCCTCCTCATCCTCCTCGTTGTCCCCCCTCGTCTTCCCCTCCTTCCCCCCACATCCTCCTTTATCGAAGCCGTCGCGACATGTTGTCACATCTGATCCCAGCTCCTGGTGGGATGGGATGGGCCCCGGGACTCCAGATGGGATGGGCCCCAGGACTCGGCGCCCCCCCCCCCCCTGGACGACGTCGCCGCCGTCGTCGTCGCCGTTTTGCCTTCTTCGGCCGGCAGACAAACAGACATGCCCAGACAGACAAGCTGGCAGACAAACGATCCAGACAGACAGACAGACAGGCCGGACCTGCAATACGCAAGCTCACGCTGCGAACCACGGCCTGAAAGAGAAAACGTGCCCTCTCAACGGCAATATGCCTGAAGGCCCACATGCGAGCGACATCGCGCGCACCCCTGCATGCGCGCGTAAAACGACGAGGGGGCAGCAGGATGGAGGGCGAGGAGATGGAGGAGACCAGGAGATAGGGGGAGGAGGAGGCAGGAGAAACATGAACGCGTGAGGAAGGAGGGGGAGAGGGAGGAGGGAGGAGGAAAATGATAGCAAAACGACAAGCGAGGAGCAGGGAAGAGGCCGAGGAGAAGCCCTTTGAAATTCACGCAACGTCTTGATCACGAAACACTTTTTTGAAACATTGCGATAGTCTTGCGCTTCAGAATTATTCATTGGTTTAACAATGTCGCGCCGTGTGGACGCGATCTATTCCGTCACAACTATTCGTCCGGCAGACGCATGCCAGATTGAGCGCGCAGTTGACATCATCGGGAAAAAAGGCTCACCCACACTGATTACGGTGATTATGCGCTATTACAGAAGCACCACCCCTCCGTCAAATGTAGCAGTTTTACGTCATGCCTGGGAGGTCGATGCGTACGCCGATGCGGATGCCGATACCGAGTCCAAAGACTCTGACGACGACTACGACGACGGCCCCCGCCACCCCACACTCACATGCCACATGCCGCACCACACCCACATGGGAGGGGGGTGGCCAAGCCTATCGGGCGGGGCATCAGCATGGTTGGGGGGGAGCTCCCTGGACCTGGATTGTAGATTCCTCATGTACGTTGTGGGTATGACACAGTGCCGGCAATTTCCTAAAGAGCACTTGTTGCAGGCACGCTGTGGGCTTGGCGATACCGCTCTGGATAATAACGAATCGGTGGTTCGTTGGGTTATCCGCGCAGGATGTTTCGGGAGTTGCTGGGGGTGCCACCAGGAAAAACAAGTGCCATCGAGGTCGCCCCCCAAAAAAAACAACTCGAATCGAATCAAAAAGCGCGATCGACAGGCAACGAAACGCAAATTTAGTTACTCGAATCAGGCTCCTGCGGGGCAGCGGCGCGGTCGCTCACATGAACAATCTCGAGCGGACCCCATCATCCCCAAATCTCCCCGATACGACGACAAGTTCGGCAATCACGCCCCAGCCAGGGGGCGATTGAGCACACGGCCCGACTCGTTTTGTATGACTACTTTTTTAGTCAGCGGCCGCGGGCGAGCGCGCCGGCGGCGAGTCAGGTCAAAGCGGGCTACGCAGAGACTACTTAAGCAAAGGCAGCGCGAACAGGCTACGACTAACGACGCAGCAAGCCGAGGCCTCACGCGGCGGCCCAGCGGCGGGCGGGTGGCAGGGGAGACTGAAACTGAGTCGAACTGCCAGCGTGCAAGTATGCAGGCGTCGGAAGCACCAGAAGTCGGGATAGACGGCGACCAGGGTCAACTCCGTAAATTAAGGAATGAGACCGATCCCCGGGCAACTGCGTGGGCACCAGGGTGGCCGCGGCCAGTGAACCGCCGGTCGAGGTGGAATTGAGACATGCAAAGGCGAGGCCACGGACGTCGGCCTTTTTGTATGACTATGCATGGTGGGAAGTTGTTTAACGCTTTGACTGTCATCACCCACCAACTTCCTTCGGCCACAAAGAAACAATTCCCACGCATCTATTGAGGCCTCCCTGATGGGTCGGAGAAGATGGGGTCGAAGGATCGCGCGGCATCGCCGATGCATCAGCGATGCATCGGTAACGTCGGCGATGCGTCGGCGACGTCGGCGTAGAGAAAATCGGGTTCCATATCGACCCGCATCGCCGATGCATCGCCGATGCGGCGCGATCCTCCGACCCCATCTGTTCCGACTCCATCTAGGAGGCCTCGAATTTACAAATCCACGAATCCGGGAAATTAAATCGACACATCACTCTTTCCACGCGGGAGTGCCTGTCTGGGTGGAAGGCGCAGGAGTAATGCCTGGATCCCTGGCCAAGGCCACTCCTGGGAACTCTGGGCTCTGCCGGTTGCTGGCTTCTAGTGATCGCCTGGAAACTCGGAAACAAATTGCACCAAGAAAAACCTTATGTTGCATCCTCAAGAGACCTTGACTCTCCCGTCGGGGCCATATCCGCGTCGAATTCGTGTCGAATCCACGTCGCGCTCGTCGGATCCGTGTCGAATCCATGTCGAATCAGCGTCGAATCGATGCCAAATCCGCGTCGATTCCGCATCGAGGCCGCGTCGGGCACAAGAAAAGACACTAATTTCGGGGACAGGCGAGGTACCCCGAAGATGCAACGTACAAAAGATGGCTTGATAATTTGGCGGGCACCTTGCCTGGCCGCAATTTTGCCGAAGGCCTGAAGAGGTCAAAAGCACTGATCCCCCTTCCATTTAGACTGATTGTAGCGATTTCGCCTCTTTGGACATCCGTTGTCTGAAACGGCCCAAGAGGCCTCCAATATGGACGACGTGAGAGGGCCCCTGGACTGCACTAGACGGCCTCCAGATGGCCCCAAGACCGCCCGAAGAGACTGACCACATGGCGAAGAGAACCACAAAATGGAAATATGCATGTATTTCTCTGCATCGGCATTTTACCATGACCCCAGAACCAAATACTGGGAACCCGGGAACCCAACCAACCTTACACTGCTCGGACCCCTGGCACCAGAAACAGGAAACCCGGGAACCCAGCTGCCCACCGAAATCAACCCGGAACCCGCAAACAGGAACCCAACACCCAGAACTGGGAACCTGGGAACCTGGTCGCCCAGAGAAATCGGCCCGGGATTTTCGCCAAATCTTTTTCAGGATCTGCTAGGACCCTTACAGTGCAAACACTGGTTTGGAAAAGAACTGGGGGCGCAGGACCCGGTGCGATGCGACCACCACCCTTCGGAACATTGGGTCTTTCGGATATCCTCGAGGGAGTCTTGGCGCGGCGGGTTAGAACGGACAACAATTCTTCTTGCAGAGCTTCTTTACCTTCGCCAGCCAGGACGGGGTGTTCTGGGGGCCACGCAGCTAAACCAGAAGACGGCACCAAACAACAATAGTAACCACTCTCGTAAATTCTGAGCACATCTGTTTTTCCTGGAACATTTTTGATCGACACCCCATGCCACCCAAAATGTTTCGCCCATAGGGGAAACTGAAACAACATGATGTCAAACACAATGGTTTTGCGCTCCGGTGAGATTAACGCAGAATTTCAACAACCCAGCGTCACACTTCGCGCGGGGGTCATCAAAATGCCATGCGACATGCCAATGTCATAAAATTGGTGCACCGCTTTCGCGGGAACTCCCCATGGTGCCACGAACCGTGTGAAGGGAGTGCCAAGAAGGGGCGGCGCCGCCATATGGACCCTGTCACTGGGGCCTTCGGCTGAAATCCTTATGGAGCCACGAACCGTCTGAGGGGTGCGCCGAAATGCGGCGGCGCCGCCATGTGCCCCCTGCCACTGGGGCCTTCGGCTGATCTCCTGGTGCGCCAAACTGGGGCGACACCTCCATGTGGACCCTGTCACTTGGGCCTTCGGTGGAGCTCCCTCCCTATTGGGCCACGAACAATGAGAAGGGTGCGCCAAGGTGTGGCGGCGCCGCCATGTGGACCCTACCGCTAGGGCCTTCGGCGGAGCTCTCGATGAGGCTACGATGCGTGTGGAAGGCGCGCCAAAATGTGGCGGCGCCGCCATGTGGACCCTGCCGCTGTGGCCTTCGGCTAATCTCCCCATGGGGCCACGAACAGTGTGAATGCATGGTGCGTCAAAATGGGGCGGCGCCGCCATGTGGACCCTGCCGCTGGGGCCTTCGGCAAATCTCCCCATGGGGCTTCGAACCGTGTGAGGGGTGCGCCACAATGGGGCGACGCCGCCATGTGGACCCTGCTGCTGGCGCCCTCGGTGGAACGCCCTTATGGGGCCACGAACCGTGAAGGGTCTGCCGAAATGGGGCCGAACCGCAATGTGGACCCTGCCGCTAAGGCCTTCGGGGCCACTAACCGTGTGAGTGGTGTGCCGACATGTTGGAATGGTGCGTCGGGCAGAGGTAGGAATGGGAAGAGGGAGGAGGGGGATGAGGAGGAGAGAAGAAAGAATGAGGGGCGCGTTCTCTTCAAAACAAGGACGCAACACCACAAGATGGTTGGGAATATCAAGGGTGTGGCTTCTCTCTCGGGTGTAAGCCGCGCACAACTTGCATCACATATCATAGTGTCAGCATCACCGGTTCGGTTCCAGAATATGTGGGAACGGCGCCTTCGCCAAACATCAAACTGTAGCAACTGAGAACATGACACCAGCACCACTACTAATTTCAAGGCTGCAAATATGACGCCGAGGATGACGTCGACCACGGCGACGGCCGCGCCGCCTCAGCCGCCCTCCACCAGCAGGCGTCGCCGTCGACGCTATGCCACATGATGACGCCCCACCCCTCGCCAAGCGAGTTCTGCGACGCGCGGCGTTCGTCGTCGTCGCCGTCGTCGTCGCGGGCGCAGGCGCCGCATCCCGAACGATCGCCGTCGCCGTTAGAAACAAAATGTTTAGACGCACTGCCACCGAAGGCTGCCGCAAATCTGAGTCCTTTCGTCATCCAATACACTTTGTCCTCGTCGGGGAGGGTCTTACTTGAAACATCCATACCACATATACAGTAGAACCGTCGCGCGTCCAGATTTTTGCAAGCCCTGACCCCTGACAAACCCAAACCTGCAGGGTTGTACGTACACACGCGCACGGCTTGACCAGGCGTCCCAGTAGCAACGAACACACTGACCGAACAGAGACGCTTTACGCTTCAAGGGTAACGGCGTCTAAAGGCATGAATATTGGACGCGAGCCCGTGCAAACCAATAGAAACACTGCAACGACGTGCCATTGCAAAACGCATGCGCTGGCAGCGGAAACCTATACATACATAGATGTATGTAGCTGCATGGCCAAACATACACAGGTACTCCAGATTTCGTAATACAAGGGAGGGGGTCTCAACCCTCCCAGACGAGAAGTTTTAGACCCCCCAGACTATCCATGAAAGGGCGGCCCTTTGCCCAGACCCCCCCGAACCCTCCAAGACAGCTCAAATCAGACCCCCCCCCGAATGTGACCCCCCCCACTTTGTTATGTAATCCGGAGTACATGTACGAACAGAACGATGGAATATCACCCCGCCCAGCGAAGCTTCCTGGGGGCCTCTTGGAATCATCTCGGAGAGTGCGTTTGGGCCTATCGGAGCTGTGTTGGCACCCACGGCGCTGGACACTGCTGGCCGTTTCGCCTTTTCGAGATTTGGACGTTTTTTTGGGGGTGGGGGAAGAAGAGTGCAACTACTGCAAAAGTGCCTACAACGTAGATAGACCAACGTAGGAGTCGCAAGTGAGACAAATCAACCGCCATCTTTCCTGGCAAAACATATTGTAACCTGCAATGTACATATGCTGTTGAGCGTCTCACGCTCTAGTTCCACGGGAACAGACAAGGACAGTCAGATCGAGAGAGAGGATGGCGCCGAAAGGGCTGTTCAAACGAGCTCAATGAAACACGCGCGCTGCAAGTCGTAGGAACGCGATGGAAAAACCTCCGTGGCAATCTAACTGGTCGCAGCTGCGACCAGGCAGTGCGACCAGCACACTTACACCAAGACGCCGACGAGGGAGGAGACAGATGGAGAAATAGGACGAGGAAGCCCGAATATTACCACAAACTCATGGAGGCATCCGATTTCCTGGCCGACACCGTGCGACCATCGCCAGTCATCAATCCCACCCACACATGACCATCAAACACCACGGGCATTCAAGGCTCACCACTTACAATTCTGCGCGCTGGTCCGCTCGTGCCGCTGCATCTCCTGCTTCTCGCCACAGCCGCGCAGGGTGCAGTTCTCGTAGCGTGAATACGCCACCAGATTCCTGTGCGTCATGGGCGGCTCGAAGATGCCCCATTTCAGAAATCCAGGGCCGTTTGCCCGCGCAGGCGGACACTCGGAGCCCCCACCTGGTGGACAAATCAACAAAGCCTCCGTGTATAGCCGGATCTGATGGTGCGATCCACAGTCGAAGTCAAACTGTGTTCGGTTCCTAAGGTTTACGCCTGGGCAGGCGCGCGACGCAAAACTGTCCAGCCCCCTCATCATCGTTTGGGTACCCATAAGTTTTCCATTGCTTGCTCCTGCCGAGTACCAAGCCTTCATAGCATCCAGAACAGACTGCATGACCTCGCTGCCGCGCTCCACAGCCACAAGGGCATTCAGAATGTCGCAGTCGACGCCCGACCATGCACTCATGAAAGTTGTGGTGTTGTCTACCAGATCGGAGAACGAGAAACGGAACTGAAGATCCAAATCTGCATAGAAGCCACCCTCGAGCGCAAGCACCGCCGCTCTGCATATATCACCGCGGAAAGGCCCGAACGTTTCGCTGGCAAACGAGGGCTCCAGATCAGGAAAGTGGGTAGCGACGAACTCATGGCACTGTCCGTCGTCGAGAAACCGCAGCCGCAAGCCAGCATTCAGCTCCAAAGTCCTGCGGACGTTGTCGCGCACCGTCGGTGGCAGGTCGTCCACGGACCCTTCCTTCGCCGTCATGACGAGCTGCAGGGGTATGTTGGACACGGGGTTGGAGGCGGCCAGGGGGTCTGAACTGGCTGGGACCCCACAGAATCGGCCAAGAAGAGGGGACGAGGCCAACTCGGCCCAACACTGGTCCCCGCACCCCTCCTGGGGCTCATCTGGAGCAATCCCTCACCCCAGGCCCGTTCTTGACGCCCCCCGGGCCCGAACACGGCCCCCAGAGGCCGAGCAAGGCAGAGCACCTTCGGCAGCACAAGACCGCGAACCAGTGCTTGGCCGCCTCAGACCCCGAGCCGGCTCCCACATGGGGGTGGCCCGCCTCCTCCGCACGGAGAAGAACTTCGGCTGCGGGGCGTGCTTCGTCGGCGTCGGAGCGCGGCGACGCCCGCTCTCGGGACGGCCAAGTCCCAGGCCCTGGCCTTGCTGAAGCTCTGCGGCGGCCAGGTCCCGGTGCCGGGGGGCTCGCAGGGATGAGTCCTCCTTGGAGGCCTCCCAGGTGGGGTCCGAGCAGATGGGGGTCGGCAGAGTGCACCGCATCGCCGATGCATCGGCCACGTCCGCGTGGAGCAACCGGGACTCCACATGAGCGACGAAAAAAAAAAACGAGCCTCACGCGAGATGACGTAGCGACCTTACGCGGTGGCTTACGCGGGCCGCCAGCGCGGCACGCTACATCGGAGACGAGGGCGCTTACACGCGAGCTTACGCGCCAATGTCGGCGCACATCGAGCCGCATCGCCGATGCACCGGCGATGCGGCGCAGTCTTCCGACTCCCTCCGCTCCACCCCCATTCTGGGAGGCCCCAGATCCTGCAGGGCCACCTGGATGGCCGCCGCGGGGCGCAGCAACGTCAGCAGCGCGAGGGCAAGATGTCTCATCCCGCCCGCCGGTCAGTTACGTAGTGAGTGTGGGACAGATCGACTGCACGCAAAAGAGGCCCTGGGCAAGAGTGAACTCGGGTGCGCGGCTTTTTGGGGGCCGCAGGGGTAGCAAACACACGCTCGCAAGGCGCTCGTATCGCATCGCGTCTGGCGATCGGGGGTCCCCAATGGGCGCGCACCAAAGGTCACACCGGCGAATGGTCACTCTTACGTGTCGTCGAACAGATGGAGTGGTGCACACTGTGGTGCTCTCTAGCACGCGAGCCAGGAAGCAACTGAGCCAAATCGGCATTGGACTTCAAGAGATGGACGGGCCTGAGGGGCCTCTTGGGGCGCTCTCTTGGGGCCTGTCTTTGGGTCCTCCTTGGGGCCTCTGGAGCCGCCTTTGGGCCCCTCCTGGGCCCGTCTTGTCTCGAAGGCATGCCGAAGCCTCCAGAGCCCTTCGGGAGCAACAAGGCGTCTAAACCAAGAACAGCGCATGGGACTTCAATATCTTTTGACTGTGGCCTCCCGGAAACCCTGTTGGCGGCCACTCGGGGCGATTTGGAGGCTGTCCCGCGTGCTTTTTCAGATCTGGCTTCCTTCCATGGTGTCTTGTCTTGTCCGGTCTAGGGCGGCGTCTTGAGACGTCTCGGGGCTCGCCTCACGCAGGCGTCTCCCAGATAGCTCTCTGAGAGCTCAGAGGGTTGGATGTTAGAAGCCGGCAACATATGGTAAGCCAACTTCCTCTCCACGGCTGCCGGGCAGGCATCCCCCGCAACGTCCCCGGTTAGATTGCAGCGGGTCCAGGGAGCGTATTCCTACTCGTTCCCAATACGCGTGCCAGAAGCCTTTGCGAAACTCCTTAGAGGCGCTGCGGAAGTTTCCGCGAAGTTCCTGCGAAGCTCCTTGCTCAAGCTTGCAAGCTCCCTGGACACCCTTTCAAGCACCCCCGCAAATGTCACCGAAAGGCTTTCACGTGTTTTGGACTGTGGACTGCTCCGTAATCCGGGTTTTGGACGTTACTAACGTGGCCGTCCGTGGACTGGGGGGGCTCGCCCGCCTTTCGAAGGGAAGTCCACGTCGCAGCACTCTCCCCAACGCCTGTGGACTGGACGTGGCTGGCAATGCGGCGCGGCTGGCGTGAGCTCTTGAAACTCCCCACCTTGAGACTGGCTTGGGGCCATTTTGTGGCTCCAGGCCCCTTTGGGGGTCTCGTTTGGGGCCTCTTGGAGGCTTTGGGGTCTTGGTAGGTGACCTGTTGAAGCTCCGTTGAAACACTTTGGGACCGTCTTGGGCCCAGGTTGGGGCTCCAGGCCACCTTGGAATCTCTTTTGGGGCTCTTCGGAGACTTTGGAATCCTGATGGGGCCGTTCTCTTGCCTCTTGAGCGTCAAAGGCGTCAATAGATGTTTGCCTTTTCGAGATTTGGGGTGAGCGAAGTCTTGGAAGCCCACCAGACAATGGGAAACGTCAAGGCTAAACGACAATTGGAACGCTTGAAATGTTTGAATACGGTTTGCCACGGTTGTCCGTGGGAGGCTCCGAGGAAAACCTCGGGCCGTCTTGCCGTGGCTTGGAGGCCTCCTGAAGAAGCAATTTGGAAATATCCTGAACCATCGCGCGCCATCTTGGGGGCTGTACTGGAGATCGCCTCGCCATGTTTCGCCTTGCCGAGGCCAAGACCGGGGCCGCGCGCGCAGGACTTGTGGCCGAAAGCTGACTTGAAGGGTTGACCTGTCCTATTATGAGATGTCCATCCCCTGGGCCCGAACGGGTTAGGAGTCAACTATTGGGAGGTCTTCGCTGGAAAGATTAAGGAAGATTCAACCTCACTGGGGGGCTGCTGCGCCGGAGCGGGCCGCGGATTAAGCGGGATTAAGCCAAATCAAACGGGATTAAGCGGGAGTAAACGGGAACAGTCCGGATAAAACCGGATTCCGGACCAGGGCAAAGTCATACTTTGACCTCTCCCAAGAGTTGCATCCGAAAACGGAGGGAGGGTTTGGGGGCCGACGGCCAGAACGCCACTATGGCACAAGGGAGCTCCACAACAGGAGTCACAACCACCGCAAGGCGGGTTCCAGGAGGCCACGTAGCATCTCATGAATGGCCCCGAGAAGCCAACGTCATGCAAACACCTACGGTGTCCAAGCGACAGATGGCAGATCGCATTCTCACGCCTGGTGGGTTTTTGGGGCACCAGGATGGCTCCAAGATCGCCCAACAGAGCCGTAAGACAGGCCCACGGGGGTTCCGAAACACATTCTTCTTGTGGTTCCGACGGGGTTGGCCCTAATTGGCACTGCGCGCTTGTTTGAGCATGTTCTCCAGGATGGTCGCGAAAAAGCCCCCAAAACCGCCAATGGGGCCGCCGTGAGAGCAAACCTAACAACTCCCACATGGGGGCCCAGGAAGCTTCAAGGTGGCACCAATAGGCCTCCCACGATATCCCATCTATAATGTCGCAAGTGTGGTTTCGATCCGTGTTTGCTTGCGTCCCTCCTCCTGGCAACTCCCCTGGCCATCGTTTCTGGATGGGCTGTTTGGGATATTTTTTGATCGGCGGTTCCAAGGACGGCTCCGGGGAGCGGGTCAATCTCGACTGGGGCGCAACGCGAGACGATTGGCAACGAAGGCACATAGGCCAACGCCGCAATTCACGTGCGAGGGACAAAATGAACCGCATTAGGAGCCGACCCGGGAACGGAAAACGGCAGCATGCTGGAAAAGCTGGCGGAGGGTCGCACTGCGGCGCCAGCCCCCGCAGACCAAGCCAGCGAGAAAGGCGGGAACGCCGCGCGGGCAGCACAGTGTCCGAGGAAAGGCACCGCCGAACGCGGCGAGGAGGAGCAAAAGGGGAGACAGAGGCGCAGGAGGCGACGAGGGGAGGGGGAAGGAAGGAAACCTCACTCACAGTGCACCTGAGGTGCTCGAGGACAGGTGCGTCGAACCTTGACAGGAGTCGGCACCTTGTTGTCCGAGTCCCAGCCTGCAACTTCCTTGCCACTGTGGATAGGGGGAAACGCTGCGTGGTACCACCGCTGCACCACCCAGCGGGGGGCCTGCGGACCTGCCCGTGGAAGAATCGCTGGGCTGCCGTGGGCCTCGTGCGCCGTGCACCATGAAAACGGACGTTGGCGTCGTTGGCGTGCGCGAGTAGCAAGTCCGTCCAGAGGAAGGGGGCGATGTCGCAAGCGAAGCCAAAGGCCGGGGGGACGGGCCTGCCATGGGAAGGCTCTGACCTGCCAAAGGATGGACCACTTGTACAGGAATCCTGCCTCCCCAGGCCCACCCACCGGTGCCAGCGGGAGATCGCACCCCGCCGCTGGGATAGGGGTGACCACCTCGGAACATGCACGCGAACGTTGCCACGATGGGGGGAAGCCGAGTGGCGTGGTACACCACAGCAGTGCGCGTGGAGGAGGGAGAGGAGAGGCGCAGCCGATAGCCGCAAGTCAAGTAAATAAATGGAGGAGGGTGGGGGGGGGGCGAAACCAGTGGGCCATGCGGCGACGGAAACCGCAGTGAACCCAACTGTGGCTGTTTGGGATACCCGAAGCCTAACGATTTTCCCCTCGTTCTGTTGTTTCCATCCCATCCTAATGCCGATGAACCTTATCCCCCTTGCGCATGCCCTCCTCCTCCTCCTCCTCCTCGTCGTTGCGCCATCTCCTTCCTCCTCCTCCTCCTCCCCCTCCCCATCGTCGTCACTGTCCTCCTCCGACTCGTACTCCCCCCTTTCTGGGCTGTGACCCGCTGGGCAAACTATCTTTTCGAAACCCTCGATGCTGATAATGTTCCGATATCGTTCTCCAAGACTTCGCACGCAGTTTCTTCCAGGAGCTTCAGACGCCAGTCTGGCCACTCTGTAGCCTGCTGCGCTGACTGACGTGTATGACTGATTGACTGTGCTAACCGGCGTGTGACCCGCTCGGCTGGCGTGGCTCACAATCCTTGTAACTGCCATCGGGATGGACAAAACAAAAACGTGACGGTGAGAGAGACAACGAACAAACAATGCTACAAACTTAGTCGCCGCACGCCAAATAATCCGTTGACAGGAGACCGCGTACTCGAACAAACTGCGGTGATGGAGCATCGAAGGAAACCCAGAAGCCGGATGCGTTTGATAGCATCCAGGACATTTTAAAATCGTTAAACTGCGACTGTCCCACGCTGCAACTTCTGCCTCGGAGAAGCTGGCACGCTGGGATTTGAGGGGCCCGAACGAACATCAAAGTGTTCGCGTCCCTCGGGGCGGCTCTTCTTTGCGATGGGTTCCAAACGATGTGCCAGGAACGTTTTGTGAGGAACTGCTGCAAACGCTCAAGAGCTGCCATCCTGGCGGGGCCGTTGGCCAACTGAGTTTCGCTGGGGGCCAAGCGGGCCAGAGTGTTGCAAGCAACTGCACTTTCCCAAAAGACCAGAAGCTGAACTACTGTCGCTTCCTCCTCCGACCCACAAAGTGAGACGAACTTGCGGTGAACCGCGTCGGACGCACACTTGGCATCGGTTGGCGAAGTGCTTGGAACATTTCGGAGTGAGGCACCACTGGGCTTTTGCACACAACAGAAGGACGAACATTCCCGACCGCTAAAACCAGAGCCACATTACCTCGCTTTCGGCCCCCGAAGAACCCTGCGCATCAGCCGCCAACGGGCCGCGAACACCTTGGGGGGCCCTGTCCTGCAAACCTCGTCGTCCAGGGTTTGCGCCGCAACGATTCCTTCGGCAAGCCCTGGCGTGCTCGACAATCTAGGACTTAAAACCAGAGCTGCAGATGAGACGCCACTGTCACAGAAAGACTCCTCCAACCAAAAGTACTGCATCGTTCGCGTCGCGCGTCTGGCACATGGCCTCCCCGAAATCCCATGAAATACGAAGCAACGCAATTCTGCGACAGGCCGACACCTGCTGGGAACTGCGTTTTTGCGACAACTAGGACTTAGGAAACCAAGAGAGGCCCAAGAGGCCCCTAGACAATGCAAGAGGGCCCCGAATCGCCGAAACCTCGCT